TCATAAGTTACAATTTTAATATTATTTTAATACTATATAATAATATCTCTAAATTCATCTACTAAAGAGTAGGGAGGAAAAATTTAATGTAAAGGTATATATGAAAGGTTTCAATCCCTTGACCTTGAGCATACAAATCACAAATCTTACCAACTTAGCTAACTTTCAGTTCAATTACATAAATATATATACTAATTATACGAAACATCTATATCTATAATATATATATAATAGGTAATGGGATAGGGTGGTGGGCTCCTTCCAAGCGTGGGCGCTGGTCAAGGGCTCAGCCTACCCTTGCTCAAGGCCGAACCCTTAGAAACCATAATAACGGTAAAAATCATAGACCTTTTTAAGCTAAGTCAATCCGAATTTTTTCACTATGTTATTTATGATAGGACATGTACATAGGTGTTGCCACGGTCATGAGAAAGATATATTGTAGTACGTAAAAGAAAGATTATTTAAGCCTGAAGTAATGCCATTGTGTGATTTTAGAATTTATACCCGATTTGGTCATTCAACTATTATGATTTTATCACTTTAGTTCTTGACATCCAACTTGCTCAATTTCAACTCAAATTATGCAATTGTTAACCAAAATGGTCCTCATTCAAGACTATTTTGGTTTGGACCAAGGATTATTTTAGGTACAAATTACATAGTTGGGGATGAAATTGAACAAGTTTAGAAGTCGAGGACCAAAGTGGTGAAATTTTAATAGTCGAGGGATCAAATCGAGTATTAACTCTGTGATTTTGATATAATGGTTTTCTCATGTTTAAGTAATTAAGTTATAACGACTCCTTAGATTTTCTAATGAGTTAATATCCAAAATAGTAATCGATTATGGTGATTTTTCTCGATTTTGTCATAAATTACTTTTTTTTATACCTAATTTAATTTTAGACTTGTGTATTTTTACTAAATGTAGTCCTCCATTTATTATTCCGTTCAATATGTGTTAAATAAAGGGACAATTTGATAATTGCATTATTTGACCCTCTTTCACCATCTTTCATTTAATACCATCAAAAGAACCACCTAAATTCCTAAGTGTTAAATGAAAGAGGGTGAAAGATGGCCAAATATTACAATTACTAATTTAGTAATTTGTCACTCTATTTAATACTCATGGGATGGAATAACAAAAATAGGACTATATTAAGTAAAAACACATAAATCTGAAATTAAATTAGGTCATAAAAATCGTTTAGGACGAAATTGAGAAAAATCACCATAGTTGATGACCATTTTAGGTATTAATTCATTTTCTAATATTCTTATTAGGGAAAATAACACTTTTTCCCTTGAGTTATATACTTATAGCACTTTTTCTCCCAAAATTATTCAAGTGGTTGTTTTTCTTCCTGAAATGTTAAATGGATACATTTACCATTAAAATAAATATTTCATTTATTTTTCTTCTCCAACAAATTATGACCATGATTTGGTTCAAGCCGAACAGACGTTATAGCAACCAATCCGAAATATTCCAATTACAATTTAGAAGCCAAACCCGATATTTAGAGTTTATTAAAATCGCGAACCGGAACGGCCGGTCATTGTTGAATTTAGACTATTTTAAAATAAAAAATAAAATTTTAAAATAAAGACGGTTCAAAATCGTGAACCGGATCCGGAACCACCGATTTACGGTTCAAGATCCAGTTTTTTTTTTCGATTCATAATTTTAATAAATCGAAGTCCAAATATTTGATTTTGATATGAATCATAATTGAAAACTTTAAATTCGATTGCTATAGTGTTCGGTTCAGTTCGAACCGAACCGAGATCATCCCTACGTATACACAATAATTTATTGGAGAAGAAAGATAAATAAAATGTTTACTTTAAGGGTAGAAATGTCAATATAATATATCAAGGGGGAAAACCGCCACTTTTAGAATAATTGAGGGGGCTAATGTGCTTACATGAATAATTTAGGGGGGAAAAGTGCTATAAGTATATAACTCAGGGGAAAAGAGTCATTTTCCCTTCTTATTATCTCTCTCTCTCTATATATATATATATATATATATATATATATATATATATATATATATATATATATATATTAAAGGAAAATGATTAGCGAAAATTTTTTCCCTCCAAAGTATGAAAGCATGTAATTTTATAAATTCATGTAATTTTAATTACAAATCAAATCAAATCAACATTATTATTAAATTAGTCAACATAACATGTCTACATCATTAATTTATAAAATATTGCATATATTATCTATTATATCTCTATCTCTTCTCTTATCTATCTGTATCTCTATCTCTATCTTTATATATATTATTAAAGCAAAATAATTAGGAAAAAATCTCTATCTCTATATCTCCTCTCTCTCTCTCTCTCTCTCTCTCTCTCTATATATATATATATATATATATATATATATATATATATATATATATATATATATATATATATATATATCTAAAATCTAAAAACATAATAAGTGTGAATGAAAGTTATACCCCTGATTTATGTTCGTTTTTTCCGTTAAGTTTTTTTTGTACATTATGCTATAAAGGTTGTACATTAAAATATTTTGGACAAACATACCCCTACCGTTATAACTTCCGTTATCTTTTCTACTATTGTTACCATACATATGCATCCACCATATATTTTTTCTTATCTTCTTCATTAATAATAATATATACACATTAAATATTTGAGTTATATGTTAATTATTACATAAATATAAACATCAAATTTATAAAAATGATTTATTATTATTATTAGTATTATTATTTAGAATAATTTAAATGTCTAAAATTTAAATAAATTTAAAATTTTAATATAATGTATTAATATTGGGCACCTATTTTTTGCGCATCGCGCATAAAAAATACTAGTATATATATATATATATATATATATATATATATATATATATATATATATATATATTAAAGCAAAATGATTTGAAAATTTTTTTCCCTAATCATAATCATCATAAATAATTAAATAAAGATAGAAAATCAAAGTGAATAATAAGCAAAAATATTTTAGGGTGTGTTTGGAAACCTGGAAAATGAGTTCTGGAAATCATTTTCCAAGTTTTCAGTGTTTGGATGTGCCTGGAAAATCAAGTCAACGGAAATCATTTTCCGTTGACTTTGGAAAATAGGCTTGTTTTGGAGGAAAATGACTTCCCCTTGTTTTGGGGGGAAGTCATTTTCCAACTTTTACACCAACATCACACCACCACCAACATCATCAACACTATACCACCACCGTCGTCGCCATGACCACGACCATACCACCGCAACCACCGTCGCCACCACTACAACCACCACCATACCACCGCAACCACCACCACCACCATCGCCGCCACCACCATACCACCGCCGCCGCCACCACCACCATACCACTGCCACCACCACCACCGTCGCCGCCATGACCACGACCATACCACCGCAACCACCGTCGCCACCACTACCACCACCACCATACCACCGCAACCACCCCCGCCACCACCATAATATTTTTGATTTATTATTAGTTATTTTTTATTATATTTAAAATTATTATTATATTATTATATTATTATATATTATTATACATGTTGTAATATTATAAATAAAATAATTAAAATGTTTAATTATACAATTCCACTCATTTTCCAGAATGTAACCAAACACTGGAAAGGAAAATGTTTTCCGGAAAATGACTCATTTTCCAGAAGTCATTTTCCTGCTTTCCAAACGGACCCTTAGTTGATAGGAGAGTAATTCACAAAATTAATTTGAGTAATAATTGTTGATCCATAATTGAGAATTAACATTGCAATAATTATGTTATGTTTCTAACATTAATTAATTGGAGATAAATTTAAAATTCAGAATCAATATTTACATGAACATCTACACCTACTTCAACACTATAAATAAATCATCATCCACAGGACCACAAGCAATACTACAATTATGTTTTGGTCGTGGCTGGAATTGGGAGGATGGTTGTGGCTAGAATAGGGAGAAGAATATTTATGGGAGTTTAGATCTCTTATAGAGTTTTATACCGTGTGATCTAGAGAAGATGAATCAAGAAATGCGCAGTAGACATGAAGAAAAAGATGAGGATAAAAATCATACCTTGCTTTTGAACATGAGGCTTCGATCTTGGAGCTGTTCTTTCTTGGAAGTAGAGGCAACTGTTAGTCGTAGCTCATGAACGCGAAAAAGAAGAACAGCTTACGTAAAAAGACTATTTTGTCCTCATGAATAAAAAATTTAAAAAGGTTTAAGTTTTTCCGGCCAATTTCTACCGGTGATTTGGCCGGAATGACCAAATCTGCTAAAAAAAGCATAGTTAAATGACTAAATTGTTAGTTTTAAAAGTCATAGAGCGAAATTAACACGCCCCTATAGTCATACGACCAAAAGTGTAATTTGCTCATTTGTTAAATTAATAATAATCCGTGCGTCGCACGAGACACTTACTAGTTGATTATATAATGAAATATTATTCCATCACCAATAAATTAATAGTGTTTGGTTGGAGAGAATTCTAATTTCGTGGAATTGCAATTCATGTATCCCCTAAAAATTGGAATTCAATGCATCTTGGAAAGGAAAAAAATAATAAAAATGACTAAATTATCCTTGATTATTATTATTATTACACAATGACTTTTTAGTCTTTATATTACTTCTTCCATTTTCATTCTCAATAATTATATTCTTACCTACCAAACAACACGCATTTGAATTCACACTTTATTCCTACCTTATTCTTTTTTCATCAAATTTCAATTCCTCCTCCTTAATCCATTCCTTCCAATGAACAAATATTACATTGTAAAGATGCATTAGTACTTAAAAAAAAAAAAATCAAAAGTGCAAACTTTTCCTATCGTAAAACTTGTGGGGCAAAGTGCAATTTCCTTCTCAATATTCCGTAATTTGCACGCTTTATCTTTATTTCGAAGCAAAGGAGATTCAAATAACAAAATAAAAAAGGAAAAAGAAAAGAGAAAAGAGCATTAGCCAACTACAGTACTCAGTAGTGTAGTCTGTACTCTGTGGATTATCTCACACAGTACGCATTTTGTTAACGAACCACCTTTACTGTGTTACTGTTACACACAAAATACACTTCCGCGACTTGCGAGTTGCAATAGGAGTCGAGGCTGCAAGAGTTCCCGGAGAAGAAGATACAGAAAAGTGTCTACACAAGAAAAGAATATATATATATATATATATATATATATATATATATATATATATATATATAATAAGAAGGGAAAGAAAATTCAACTGGAAAGAAAAAAAGCCCGATTTTCCGGGGAAAACAATTTATGGGTCACTCTTCATCTTCGCCATCGTTCTTCTCATCACTAGGCATAGCAATCTTGATTCTTCCTGCCTTTCGTTTAATACCATTCTCCTATTCTCTTCCCTTCATTGTACTTCATGGTATTTATTTTTTTATTTTTCAATAAATTTTATTTTTATTTTTTTCCCCTTCTTGTATTGGTTTATCTTTTGATTACTGGAAATAATACTCTTGGTCTTACGCGATGGTCTGTGTTCATAGGAATTGGGGATCAGTGCTCAAACAAAGGCGTGAAGCAATTTACTGAGGAGCTGAGTGAATGGTCCAAATCCGATGGATATTGCCTGTATGTTTGTTTTTTTCTTCATATAAGTTTTAGTTCTTCTTTTGAAACTGTTATGCTTAAAAAGCTGCTATCTTTGAGAAGCATCTTTTTGTGCTTAGTAATAATTTGGAACAGCTCTCCAAATGTTTGTGATAATGCTCCCTTATTTGTCAATTTGTGTGTCATAGTTGGGTGGGGTGGATGGGGGAAGGGGATGTTTATGTTTCTCATTTTGCTTATTCTGATATGGAAATTATATCAATTGGATCAAGAGTTCTACTACGTGGACTCTCAATCCACTTTTACTTCCTGATGTGGCAGCACCAAGAAGAAAATGTCTATATAAAAAATTTGAGTGAGAGAGTTGAAATTGGGAGTAGAATTTACTAATTTAAGAGTCCAAGTAGTATTTTCCTTGGATAAAGGGGATCCCTTTTTTAGGTGACTTCCCTCCTTTCTGATGCAGTCCATCAAGTTGATAATGATAGTACTCACCCCTTTTTGTAAGATTCATCTTATAAAAGAAATGGAACCTATGTTTTTGATTTCAGTGCAATTAGTTGATTTTGCTATGGGATTTATATCTTTGTTTATAGGTTGGTCCTAGTTTGCATTCACTAGTAAGGAAAGGCATATAGGTAAATGCAAATTGTTGGTTGAAGTGTTAAAAAATTAATGGATGACATCACTTGGCAATTGGCGCTAACTTGGAAGAGAGTTAGGGTACCATCTGCTTAAGATACATGAAAATTGGATCAAACTACAAAATTTTCTGAATTCATATAGAGGTTTGGTCCGTTTTGCTTCAAAACTGTAACAAACCCCTTGCAGTTACATGTAAAGACAGTTTAGAGGGCTATAGCCTTATAGGATTAGCTGTTGTTAATCTCATATAAAGTAATACTCTATTTACTCTCTAACTTGCAGAGAAATAGGAGATGGCGCCTGGGATTCTTGGTTTATGCCTCTAGAGGACCAGGTAAGACCAGAATATTGACTCCTGTTGTTTATCTTGGATTCATAAATTCTGACAGATCTGACATGATTTGATTTTGTTTGAATTGCAGGCGGAAGTTGTGTGTAAAAAGGTGGTCAAGCTTTGCAAACTTTTAATATTTTAGTGACCTGATCTTTGAAGTCAACTTACTCACTGCAAGCTCAAATTGAAGTACAGGTGAAGGAAATGGAAGAACTCCAACAAGGATACAACATAGTTGGCCTCTCCCAGGTTAAAGAGATTTGCACATATTTATGCTGAACTTGCATTTTAAATGTTCTTTGGATTCATCAATGTTGTTTATGTTTCACAATAAGGTTTCCTTTTCAAACGGGTACAAAGATACTGCAGCCCCCAAGAGAAATAAAGAAAGAAGTATACTGTTTGGTAAAATAGTTAGCCTATAGGCCAATTTTGGCTTATTTGACCGACTATTAGTTGTTTGACTTGGTTTAAAAATCAATATAAGTGTTTTTTTAATTAGCTTTTTGTACTCCAAAATGCTAAAATTCAAAAGCTACTCAAAGAAACTTTTTCAGTTAGCTTTTGGAGAAAAGAAGTTATACCAAACAGTTATCAGCTAACAACTAATTTACCAAACACATTTCTACAATCAGCTAATGTTATCAACTAGTTATACTCTCTTATTAACCCAATCAGCTAATAGCCATTTACCAAACAGGGCCATAATATAAAAATGGTTGTAAAAGAAGAGCAAAAAGTCGGCTCCAAATTTAACAAATATCATTCACATGCCTCTTCTTTATATTTCTCATTGCTATATTTCACTATTAGCATAGTTAAAAAGCTGCATATTCATTTTTCATATGCTTTTGATGCAGGGTAACCTAATAGGCCGAGGTGTTGTGGAATTCTGTGATGGAGGTCCACCTGTAAGAACAACCTTAGAAGCATTTTGCTACTTTGTTTCTTTAACATGAAATGGCACCACTATTAAAATAGGCATTCTAAGTTTTTATTATATTTTTCAGTTCATTTTACTATATCAGATAATGCAATTGTATATTAATCTGGCGTCGACATATGATACAAGCATAGATAATGATACAAGCATAGATTGCTGCAGTAGTTATTATTATTGTTGTTATTACTTATTATTATTATTATTATTATTATTATTATTATTATTATTAGTTTATAGTGAAATCATGGGTGGTTATAATATAGTAGTGGGTTAGTGGGTAGCTTTATTATCATATATAAATAGATGCCTATGTATTGGAGAGGGGGGTCTTGGAAATTAGTATTTTGGCTTTCTATTATATGAAAGATTGGGAGAAGAAGCACTCCAGAAAAGCTTATGTATTTTGGGAGAAAAAGCACTCCAGAAAAGCTTCTGCATTTTCATTTTAAGTTCTTAGGCCTGTGACGCGATCCTAGGCACATAACAACATATGGTAACAATTTGAAAATTTTGTGCATATCAATGTTGATTTATTCATTTTCCTATCATGGATGCATTTGTTTTAGAATCAGTGTTCCTGATTGCAAAAAAAATTTGCTATTCTCAAGAGTTGAGATTTCGTTATTTGAAACTTTTTAGGACATGAAGAGAATCACTGATTTTGAATGCCATATTTCATTTTAACCAATATTGATATATATTCTAGCAATGTGATCAATATATGTGCATAAAGTTGCGAGTGACAGTTCTCAATATACTATAGCTTTTCATTCAATTCAAAACATACATGGAGTAACCTTTTTAATCACTGTGAATATTCCTCATTTGGAATGGTGAATTTTCATTTCAACTAATATTGACTGTATCTTCTAGCAATAAGATCAATAGAGTGCAAAAACTAGCAAGTGATATTATACTGCTGCCTTTCATTCAATTCAAAACATGTTGCATTTTATCATTGTACTTTTATTTCTCTTGGAGGTGGTCCAGCAGTGGTGCTTATCTCCATTTCCATACAGGTTAAGAATTTTATTTCTTTAGGAGGACCTCATGCTGGTACTGCTTCTGTTCCTCTCTGTGGGGTACGTGATCTTCCTATTCGCCACTTTGTTTTTCTGGATTCAATGTGAATATATGTAAAAAAAATTCTTAATTCAAGATCATAATGATTGTTTGCTTCTCCTAAGTGCTTTTTTTTTTTTTTTTCTTTCCCTCTGTTGGAAGGGGAAGGATGGGTAGTTGGTTATTTGGCTTTGTTCTTGCCAATCTGAACCACTATACACCTAAAATTTTAAGTAGGACGTGTCTGACATTGGTTTAGTTTTCTCGGTGTGCTTTGACGATATAATTGATAATGTATTCTGTTTGCAGTCTGGCATCTTTTGCATTATAGCCGATGCCCTAATCAAATCTGAAGTATACTCTGACTATGTCCAGGTATAGCGTATGTATTGTTTACATGTGAGTATCTGATGTTGGAATGCATCTTTGAACTCATTCTGAAGTATTTATTGCAGAGTCACTTGGCTCCTAGTGGATACCTCAAGCTTCCAAATGTAAGTAAAGATAAATTGACAATTGGCTGCAAGAAGATGATTAATGTTTGATAGAATTGAATCACTGACTTAGCACAAGTGTTAATATTGGTGTTTAAACATCACCTCATAATAATAGAGAAAACCAATGATTTATGGACACGTATGGCTAACAGAATACGACTGTAGATCTGGATGAATATTTAAAAGAATAATACGGAGTAATAAAGAATTAAAAAAAACATAGTTTCTGGAAAATTTTCTAGTAACCATGACGTTAGTTTCTGCCAAGGGTGAATATTTGGAAACAAAAATTTCAATATTTTTCGTCTTTAGTTTTGATACACAATAGACAATGTTCTCTTTTCTTTCTTGTTTTTCTTCTCTTCTCTTTCTTTCTTCATTTTATTTCTTTGTTTTCCTCTTCTAATACATATGAGAAGTCAAGATTTTAAAAGTTTTTCTGACAAAATTTGTCCACCCAAAAATTTTTTCAATATTTTTTTACCAATGTGGACATTAATTACTGACCACCCTCTTATGGTGGTCGGTCACGGTATTTGATAAATTTTGATGGTGGTTGGTAAGGGTGGATGGTAATCCACAATTTTCTAGCAGTGTCATCATCCAAAGTCTTATTCTTGTGCCAAAAACCGAGTACTTTTAATACTGGACTAGTATTACCTACATTTATGGTTATTTTTCTTTATTCAAGTATACCAATTATATCTGTTTAGCATGAAGTAGAAATAATATTAAAGAATCTAGGTATTGATTGTGATTCATGTGAAGTTAATGTGGGTACAAGGTTTACCTCCAGCTTCACATTCAATCATATGGATATTGACTTGATGTCTTTTCCCCAGAACATTCCTGGCTACTTGGAAAGCTGTCGATTTCTTCCCAAGCTTAACAATGAACTCCCCGATCAGAAAAATTCTACTTACAAGGAGCGGTTCAGCAGCCTGCAGAATCTCGTGCTTATCATGGTTTGTCACTCCAGCTGTCTCATCTTTCCGCTTTTTAGATTTGCGCCCTAAATTTAATGATTCACTGTTTTCTTAATTTCATATACTTTTCATATGCTATTATTTGCCTACCCTTTTATTTCGCTAATTGTTAATTGCAGTTTGAACATGACACCGTCCTGATACCAAAAGAAACTTCCTGGTTTGGGTATTATCCAGATGGGGAATTCAAACCGGTGTTACCCCCTCAGCAGGTATTCCTTCTAATTTGGTTGAAATGAATAAATATTTGTATCACTTGCACTTCTCATTGCTATATACCAAATGACCCTCGAATCTGCAAAAATGAAGATATGTGCTAAATTGCCAAAATAAATTCTACGACCCGAATGCAACCAGTTGTGTTTACGGTTTCCTTCTTTCACAGACACAGCTTTACGTCGAGGACTGGATTGGTTTGAAAACGTTGGATGATGCTGGGAGGGTGAAGTTTGTCAACGTGTCTGGAAATCACCTGGGGATTTCTAAAAGCGATATGAAGAAGTTTGTCGTTCCTTACTTGGAGGATGAATCGTCAGAAGATGATGCCGCGGGTTCACATTATTCACTCGATGAGCAGGTCGTGATAGAAGGTCTGCCGTCTGGCTGGACATTTCGGGTGAAGAGCTTCTTCACAAGACTAACTGGCTTGGGAAAGGATGAACCATGAATCAGCCATTGATTTGAAGTGTCAAATGAATTGAATGTGATGCGTTTGTTAGAACCAATCACGATCATTTAAACTGGTTCTTCAGTGTACCCATTGTTGAGACCACTGCCACTCTGGTTTCTACTTCATGATTATTGGATTCCATTAAGCTCAAAATGTACAAATTAAACTTTATCCTATGGTTATTACATACTATCACACACAAGACTAATGGATTCCACAGAGAATGGGACATAGCTGGTTTGGCATACCAGCAGGGACTCCAGTTGGTCAAAGCTGAAGATTTTAAGCTTAGTGATTATCCTGGATATAACACCAAATCTGGTTTTGGTGGTATTGATGATAATTTCAATTGCTATCCTAGCAAAACTTATATTTTCCGGTCAATTTAGTTGTTCAATTCTAGTCATAATGGGATTGGGTGATTGATATGAACGAAGTAGCTAGCTTTTTGATTTCGTGTTATATTACATGCTAAATTCAAAACTTGTCTCAACACAGATAATATAATGATGACTTCTAAATTCTAATACTCAAAGAAATTTATTAAAGTTAACCATTTATTTTGAGACGAAACTAGTGTTTCACCGTGTAATGCTTGCAACCATTTCAACCTCCTTGAGATGAGCCAGAAAGGAATCAAGATCATTACAGCACCCCATATCATCAAACATCATCATCTGATCTTCATAGTCCCAGCAACCTCAAAACCCAATAACACAAATGAGATTCAATAACCACACTTCCAAACTGAGTAATTATTCCTTGAAGTGCCCTCACAGCGGTAAAGATAGCGTAAAAAGCATTCTACAATGAGACAACAAACAAGTTTTTGTATAGGTGGAGTGAGCTGGGGAAACCATACGGTGGAAAGGAAATGATGATAGATGTGTCCAGGTATAGTAGCAATGTTCTACCCATTAATGACAGAATTGAACTAATGTACTATTTACATTAAATATTTTGTGAGAACATTGATTAAAGTAACGAATCAAAGAGATGTGAAAATTCACAAAACAGTCATAAAAAACAATCATCATTTTCACAAATTCGATGAGGATAAGCTAGCATGGAGGAATGGGAAGAAATTTCCCTCCTTTGTCAACATTCACTGATGAGGTGAATTTCTGGTGTATACTGTAGTGGTGTGAGGAAGGAGATGGAGGAAGGTGGTAAATGACATTTTTACCTTATTATTAACAGTCCACTAACGAATAAATTAATAGAGGACTAAATTAGGTAAGTATTGCATAGTTGAAGATTTAATTGGGTAAGAATGGTAATTGAGGACCAAATTAGTAATTTCGCAATAGTCAATGGATTATTTTGGTAATTAACTCAGTTCAAGAGGAAAAATGTCATTTTATTACTAAAAGCATTGAATAATATTTTGGCTATTGATTATATAAAATAACTGTGGAATAGTAATTTTATTTTGTAATGTGAAAACAGATTTTATATTAACTTTAATGAAAATGCATGTATGGTCTTGTAATTGTAGTGCTTTTTGTTTATAATGTAAAAGGATGTTCAAAATATGAGAATTATTTATACTGCTTAGAAAAATGAAATTTGTTTTTGAATTTACACTACTATGTTTTTCCTAAACAAATATTAGTTGCAATATATAGAAGATTCCCAATGGGGGCAGTATTGACTCTTTGTGCTTCATTAATTAGGTTGAAAAAGTAGTTATGAATAGATACTACATTGTAACAGAGTCAGTAGTACTCAAAAAAATATAGAAGATTGAATATATTGATTTTATACTTTATTTTTTTTTACTCCTTTACTGGTTATTTTATTAATTGACCATTTAAAAGATGGCCTAAACTATTGATGATAACAGATATAATTGTATTGAATGAATATATTACAAAGGTACAGATCATAGGTATATATACAAAGAGAATCACATGGAGACTAGGATAGAGAATCATAAACTAACTCAAATACATAGAATCCTAATACTCCCCCTCAATCACAGGGTACAGACATGGCCTGTAGCTTGTCTCTAAGAAAGAAAATCTAGGACCAGGTAGATCCTTTGTAAATATATCAGCAAGTTGATCATTAGTTGAGATAAACTTAACTTGAATGTCTACATTGGCAACTCTATCTCTAACGAAGTGATAATCAATCTCCACCTGTTTAGTACGAGTATGAAATATGAGATTTGCACACATGTATGTAGCACCAAAATTATCACACCACGGATTGGGAATAGAAATTCCATTCACGCCAATCTCACGCAATAGAGATAGAATCCAAATTACTTCAGCACAAACATCTGCTAGAGCTTTATATTCAGCCTCCGTAGAAAATCTAACAACAGTTCTTTATTTCTTACATACCAAAGACACAAGATTGGATCCAAGAAACACAGCATAACCACTATTTGACTTACGGTCCTCAGGACAGCCAGCCCAATCAGAATCAGAAAAAGCATGCAACTCCTTAGATTCTGACTTCCATACACGTAAACTTAAGTAATAGTGCCTTTAACATACCTCATCACGCGTTTCAATTGTTCCCAATGTGAGACTGTAGGAGCATGCATATGTTGACAGAGTTGATTGATAGCGAAAGACAGATCTGGGCGAGTAATCGTGAGATACTACAACGCTCCAGCTAAACTCCTATACTGTGTTGCATCGTCATATAAATCTGCACTGAAAGAAGTGGGTGTCAAAATAGATATAAGAGTGACTAAAGGTTTACAATCTGTCATACCGGCACGTTTCAAAATATCTGTCATGTATCACTGCTGGGAAAGCAAGATTCCATTATCACACTTAACAGTTTCAATTCCAAGAAAAAAAAAACAGGTTCACCAAGAGATCCCTAATCTTGAATTCAGTTGATAGTTTAGTCAATAACTCATTGACTAGATTCTAATTACTTCCCATCACAAGTGTGTAATCAACATAGACCAAAACATATACACAAACAGAATCTTAGGAATAATAGTACAAAGACACATTTGTTTTCAAAGCTTTAAAACTAACTAACAATAGAAACACATGTAGACGATTAAACTAAGCTCTAGGGGCTTGTTTTAATCCATATAAAGAACGCTTCAGAAGACAAGCATGATTAGGAAACTGAATATCAATATAACAATGCGGCTGCTTCATATAAATATTTTCAGATAAATTTCCATTCAAAAAAAGCATTGTGAACATCAAGTTGTCTAATAGTCCACCCAGATGATATGGCTTAAGAGAGAAGTAACCTGACAGTAGTGGGTTTCACCACTGGGCTGAATGTGTCAAAGAAATCCTGTCCAAGTACTTGATTAAACACTTTAGCTACTAACCTTGCTTTGTGTCTTTCAATCGCGCCATCTACTTTCCGTTTTGTTCGAATAAGGCACCAATAATATTCATATCTGATTTAAATGGAACAACGCACCATGTCTCATTCTGAAGAAGAGCATTGAACTCTTGATCATTTGCATTACACCATTCTAGGTATTTAACCGCCTGAGTGTAACACGTAGGTTCAGTGGGACAAACCTGAGCAGTTAGAACCGTAGGTGGAGCCTGAGATCGGCTCCGTGTGGCCATGTTATGCGACCGAACCGTGTAGACCGCCCACGCGGTCGACCCCGAGGACGAGCAGTGGGTGCCACCGGTGGAGTAGGCTCAGACTGGTTAGCCTGGTCTGGTTCGGGATGATTTGGCTGAACCGGCGTGGGCTGGTCAGTTTGAACAGGTACAAGAGCTGTGGGATGTGACTGAAGAATGGACTCAGCCCACAGCTGGTTATGTTTAGTTGACGATTCCTGCAAATATTTTTTAGTTCCGAAAGGATAAATTCCTTCATCAAACCGAACATGCATGCACACATAAATCTTGTTAGTCTGTAATAAGTCCAAGCACCTATAACCCCGGAGACTCTGTGTAACCTAAGAAGACACATGGAGAAGACTTATAGGACATTTTGTGAAGATTGTAAGGCCTTAAATGAGGATAGCATTGTAACACCCCACTTTTTTAACTCTTAATCATAAATCTAAACCACAATTATTATAAACTAAGCAGCGGAAATAAAAGCTAAAAAGATAACTAGTGGGAATGTCACTGCCACAACCACCACTCCGCGGTGATTGCACAGGCTAGGGGGTAGAACTAGAAATAAAATAAATATCTAACATCCATACTAATTACTGAAAATCACAAGGGGGAAAAAGTCACCCCAAAAGTCTACATCATCAACGTCTACAAATCATCATAAGTCTAAAACATGAATAATAAGGTCATCAACAAAACATAAGAGTTTAGACATCTCAAACTACGAGACTAATCTAACTCGATCACTTCTCACTGCTGGGTCCACCTGAAAGGGATTTTGCAAGCAACACATAGACAAATAGGAAAACGCCCGTTAGCACGAAGCTAAGTATAACCACACTCAAACCTGTAAAGTACTATAGCATATACTTGGAAAACATTTGATAACATTCTTATATAACAAACTCATCTCATAGACAGCTTTAGTCATATCACATACTTTCTATATGCTTGCAACCTATAATATCAACATGCATGCTTCGATATATAAGACTTAACAACTTAGATACTTCAATCATGTAATCGTCACAACAACTTAACAAGCAACTCATTCTTACAAGTAGTATCATGCTAATAAACCAAACGACAGGTATTCTCATGCTCTCAAATTCTCATCACATAAACTGGATATACAAGGCTTCAAATGTAACTAAACAATCATGCTCGATAAACATTCTTAAATCAATATTCTTATTATACGATCTCATACGATATTCTACTCAAATGCAATCTTGTGCAATACCATAGTCATATGCAATCTCGTGCAATACTATAAACATGCTCATATGCAATCTCGTGCAAAACTATACTTATGCTCATATGCAATCTCGTGCAATACTATAAATATACTCATATGTAATCTCGTGCAATACTATACTCATGCTCATATGCAATCTCGTGCAAAACAATACTCATGCTCATATGCAATCTCGTGCAATACTATAAATATATACTCATACATTCATTGTAAAAATAGAGTACTTTCTATGGCGGTCTCATTGAGTCATAAATGACTTGCTTTCTTTCTTTCTTTCTTTCTTTCTTTCTTTCTTTAGAGTCGCAATGACTCACTTCTTTCTCTTTGGAGTCGCAATGACTCATAC